TTGTAATAAATTACAGATATTAATGCATGTTTAAAAATTATTTCCAATATAAATATATTTCTCTCTGATTGTCTCGAGTAACCTTCATACGAGTGCGGCATTCCTCTAAAATAACAATTCTCTAAATATGTTTCAGCACTTCTATCGTTCTATTCCAGCTGAAACGTCTGCGTGTTGTCACTAATGAGGCCCAATTCCACTATGACCACTCAATTAATGCCGTTCTTGCAATTATGGTACGATTTACTGCATAATGTTCTTTGTTTACTGGATTAGCAGTAAATCCAAAATTATTAAAACACCAGCTTCCCATAATAATTTTAAGGGTGAACTTATAATTTGTGCCTTTTCCATAGTTAATGGGGTGAGGATTACGATCTTTTAGGATGTGACGCCGTATGGTACGATAGAAGTTCACCGACGTTTCAGAGGACGAACTACCTCCATCTTCAGGTCGAAAAGTAAGCAGAGATCACTGGTTGTTGCTGCCGGTTGCTTGGCTTACTTTTCATCCCTGAAAATGGAAATGATACGTTCCTCCGAAACGTCTGCGAATTTCTTATTATACGACATTACAACCCAGAGGACCGTATTCTTAAAAGTGTAACGATTGACGATGAATAAGACCGGAGTTCATCGCATATTTATAGGTGCTATGAATGCATTCTCTTGAAAGAACGGAAGAAAACCACGGAACCCTATTAGACTAGGTTATATTCTAAGATTGAAATCTTATATTATTAAAATGTCGCCTTGATCCTTCCCATCAATGTGGCAAGTGCAGGAGAAAACTCCTTTGACACTAATAGCACCGCAGGTTTCCCAGAGATTATATTTATTGATTTCTTATGGTTCTCGGAATTATCAGCGAATATTTCCCTATACAACATTATCCAGATGATTTCTGTTAAGAAATATGAAGTTTCTGTAGGTGAGGTAGGAGCTGAATATATAGTATATACGAGTATATTGCTTATATGCACTTGGTGATACGTGGAAAAATATCTAATAATTTCTTGTTAACTTAGCTATTGCAGGGTTGCATACATGTAAGTGGTTTCTATATACATGTACTTTCTGCTTGAACTTTATGAATGTTAGTTAGTTATAAATAATTTGCCCTCATTTACAACTGATTAGTAACACGCATTGAGCTCAACCTACTAGCATGTGATTATACGTAACTACATTTTTCCTAATGTTAAAGTCTAAAAAATATTTACAAAAGAGAGTCAGTAAATAGACAGAAATTGAAGTAAAACAGCTGTAATGGACGTAATAGGTTTTCTATGTGGATCGCTACGTAGCAGTCCAGGTAGCAGATGCACATGCGTATATTTAGATGCTAGTTTCAGTAGTCAAAATGGCGACCGTGCTTGAGGACTGCCGAAAAGCAGCCTTCTGTTGTGCGTTTCTTGTGTGCAAGAGGAGACATAATGAAATATTTCTCGTTTATGCTGGGTAGTGTTCGTCGCGTAAAGCGGTTCTGGCTTGGTGGTAAACATTTCGCTGATGGCGAAGAGGTTGAAATGGAGGTGCGGCAATGACTGAGACAGCAGTCAAAATACTTCTATGCTACGGGTTTCAGCGCACTGGTAAAGCAATGGGACAAGTGTGTCAATGTTGGTGGAGGATATGTCGAGAAACAGATGTTTCCTCCAGGTGCGAATATCACATGTTTTACGTTTTATGTACATTTATGACCTACTTACGGACTCTCCTTCGTAATTCTTAAAAACCTTGACATAATCAGTGTCATTCTAACAACTGTCGTGGTCAAAAAACAACATTATATTTTTTATGGGTTGTTCAAATGAAACCGAGGCACGCGGTAGAGTGCTTGGTTAAGGAACTATGCTACAATGCGAATGGCCACGGGTTCGATTCTCTATGAAGTCATTGGATTTTTCAAGTGACGTAATACTTCTAGCCGTGCTGTGGCTCCGGGATCGATTCAACCTCTAACAGAATTGAAAACCGGAATCTTCCTGATGATAAATTGCGGCTGATGAGTAAGGCGACAACCTCACCGCCATCTGTGAGCCGATTGTCTAGATAATGTGATAGCCTCGACATCTCACAGCCCTATTGAACTACACGGCCTGTTACAGGGATAACTTTAACTTTGTTTGCCTCTTGTTCAAAAGAAACCCGTTCATAACTCTGCTAGCGAACATGCACGAGCATTCGACTTCGAACTCTCGCGTTACAGCAATAGGAGATTTTGTGACAGTTGAATGTGCAGAATCCTCCCAGACCGGAGCATCAGGTTGTCATCCCGTTCCGTCAGCGGAAACGTTTCACTCGGAACGTCCCTCATAAAAGCAGACAGGCTGCTAAACATTTTTGGGCAACCCTGTTACAAAGCAATATGTGCAGTCAGCCCCTGGACAAGATTCAAAGGCTTTTGACATGGCTACATCTGACGGTAGGACCCGAAGACTTCGCTTTAGAGAAGAGGAACTCAGAACTCTGTACCCAAAAGCTCTCTAAACTTTACCAATACTTCTCTCCCCCTCGCTTCCTCTCCCTCTATTCCACCTTCCTCATTTCGTATAGCTTGGACTGTCCGTTGTCTCGATACTGCACTTTAACACAGACTTCATCCTGTCCCTTCGCCGCCCTCTGAAAGTTTACAAGTTGCCTGAAGACTAATAGTCCGGCACATTGCATGAAATTGCATTTCAAAAGAGCAGGGTCATTATTTCACATTGTCTGAAGTTTACATTCAGGATTATTTGCGCCTTTGCTACATGGTGACTTGATGTGACATTCCGTGCCCCCTCCGAACAATATAAATGGATCAATTTCAAGCATTTCTCTTGTCAGGGATATTCTTTACGATGAAATGAATTATTACAAAAAAAAAATAGGGTCTCTGTCAGCCATCCATTAAAGTTGTGAATAAAATACTTCTGGTCAAAAATCTAAAGTAGAAATAAATAAAAAGCCACTCTTTAGACTATGCTTAAAACATCAAGGCATACAGAGAAACTTGAGACGATGCGACAGCTTCATACTGCGACCGCTTTACTCCAAGCATAAAGAACGACCTGATGTCGAAAGGATATGAAGCTCGACTATGATGGGAACCCGTTTAGATATTTCGAGGATAAAACCCACGATCGTAGCCGGACGAGAAAAGCTATCGCCTCTTATGTGTTATTTTGTACACTGGTCTAAATAACGTGTAAATCCCCAATATATTCCATCTGGTTTAGCTCTAGCCAATATACATTATTATTGTATTCTTTCCTATGATGCATTTTAATATCATCCTTCCACCTATATTCAGGTATTTAAAGGTGCCCTCTTTCCATGTTATATTTTGAAGCTATGCTTTTTAAGGATGCCCAATCGACTGAATATTTGATAGCCTATTGAAAGGTGACATTGTCGCTGTGCTTAAATATATAGCATCATTCAAACTCAATAGGAATGGAGGTATAACCTTACGTATTCTATCGCCGACCATAAAAGGAGCCAGTATTTTTATACAACATTTTGGGAACTCTAAGTTTAGATGGATCAGAAATCAAATATTTGGATATAATCTAATTCACAGACTAACAGTAACGCCATGATACCCTGTCCTTCTTGAGAAGCTAGTCTTATTTCACACGGTCACAATAGTCCCAAATTTTATGGAACCCGAAATTTCATCACCGCCTTCATGATAAACCATCACTGTTCCCTATTCTGAGCGGATCGAATCCGGCCCTTATCCCATGTCAATTTTTTAAGATTAATTTTAATATTATCCTTCCGTCTATGTCTAAATATCCGAAGTGATCTATTTTTTTTTCAGATTTTTCAAATAATTTTTGTGTGGTTTTCTCATCTCTCCCACTCGTGCTACATGTCCTCGTATCCTAGTAATCCTTGATATATTTAATTTATGTCACGTGATAGAGTGAGTATAGACGGGTTTTGGATTGATGACTCGATTTATTGCACACTTTGATACAGCGCGTGACATTTTACAGTTCACTATTACACACTAGTGTTCACAGTCGCGCCTTCACTGCCGTTGCTTGGTAGCAGCTTTCAACTGCGGAACTTGCGCCTCCTCTGTATTCCCGAACTGCCCCGGCCTCAGCTACCAGCTTCTAACAGCAAAACTTCGCAATGAATGAACCCCAGCAGTACTCTAACTGCAACTGCTAACTTGTCCTGGTTATAACACCTCGGCACGGACTGCGAAGAAAACGTCTCCTCCATCATTGCTGTTCTCTCGTTGCCGTGGAAACATACATGTTTGAGGGGCCGTTACTTGGCAGTGGCTGTTATATAGTTGCTTATTTCGCGGTCCCTGCCTAGCAACGACTCTACATGCCACAGTATGATTTGTTTAATGATAACTTCGACACTTCAGGGGCCGGCATTCGGAACAGCGACTGGCTACAAGTTGGACGACCAAGGAGTCGGAGTTTGAGTCCCGGCACAGGAAAGGTTTCCTTTTCTCCATGTCCTCCAGACCGGCTCTGGGGTCCACCCAGCCTCCTATCCAATGGGTAATGGCGGCTCCTTCCTGGAGGGTAAAGCGGCCAGGGCGAAAAACTGACCACTACATCCAACTAGTGTCGATGTCAAGAAACAGTGGATCTATACATCCACTCCTCCAAAACTCCTCAAGGCCTAGTGCTTAATTATTAAGCACAGGGAAACTTTTACTTTACTTCCGTCACCAAAAAATATAAATAGTCAGATGATAGGATTGTTAGTAGGTAACAGGACAGTATGTGGATAGAATCATTCGTCACGTAATGTGAGGTACTGTGGTGAAATTTACTTGGAGGAACTGAGGTAAAACCACGAAGACATTCTGGCAAATCGGCGTACCGAACCCGGAACCTCCGGAATAAAAATACAGGAACGTTGCCGCTTGACTGGACCATCTCGGACTCAGCGTGAAGCTGTTTCTTGCAGTAGATGGAAGTGTTGTCTCGCGCGAGAGATCTGGGTAGCAGGCAATCTGAGTAACCTGTTCTTGTTTCCAGTAAGCCTGTTGTGATGACCGAAGATCGTGTGGTTGGCAAAGTGTCTGTGGCCCTCTGTGGTGTGTGCTGCCGGCCCATCTGCGATCGCTACATCATGAGAGTGGTGGATGTGTCCTACCACGAGCGCTGCCTGCAGTGCTGCATATGTGGAGCGCGCCTCGCCCACACGTGCTTCACCCGCGACTCCAAACTCTACTGCCGTCTCGACTACGACAGGTGAATAAGCTCCAGTTGTCACTCAACACAGTTATTTGGTGCTTGAATATTACCCATCGTCCTTTTTTTTAAAAAACAATTTTTCGAAGATTGAATTCGGTCCCTGTCCTCAGGAAAATCATAGTCATTTGGGCTCAAATGATAGAGCTAGTCTCTATCTCAGGACACCAGGGCCCACGCAAGAGAGTATGTATATAGCAAACACAGCATAAATCATCAGCTGGAGTTAACGCAAATATTAAAAGAACTCCACAAATATAGCGAGGTCGAATCCTTGTAAGGTCAAGAATGTTCTCTTCTCCACGTCGTCCAGATCAGCTCTGGGGTCCACTCCAACTTCCTATCCAATGGGTGCTATCCCCCGGTGCTCATTCCCCGGGAATAAAGCGGCCGGGACGTGAATCTGACCACTCACCTCCAACTGGTACCGAGGTCAAGACAATATGGATCTATACATCCACTCCCCTTTATGCCTTCATGTCGCAGTGCTTAATTGGTTAAGCCTAATCATGAGGCCTTACACACATGGTCACGCATAATTTAGCGGCCAGAGTACTGTTAAAATAGAAGCCAACACAAAGTATATGTCGTACCAATTTGAAAACACAATTCTCACATATAATCTACAGTGGACGGAGTTGTAGTTTTTTCTTTTGCGTCTGCTGTGATAATGGCAGTCCAGATAGGACAGACATCTCAGCTGGGCTGACTGGTTGGATAAACTATCAGAGACATGTGGGTGGATTCGTTGTATTTCCTGTAGGTGTTGTTCGGTTCATTGTGCAAGACAGTCCTGTCTTTGCAACATATTTTGTGGTCTTATTCTTATTTATGTTTGGATTAATCTTGATTTTTCTAGCTGATCTTGTTCACAGTAACTCAATAATTTTGTAATAATAATTATTATTATTTTTACTTTAATGCAAATGTGTTTTATCCTGTGGCAGTAGTACTACAATAAGGCATAACACTCAAACAAAACACAGCACACAAAACTACACAAACAATAACGGACACACTACACACAAAGAATACAATATAAATACAGTTACAACGACAATTATGTAAATTAATATTAATCTGATTCAATAGTAACTATTACAAGGTTTCAGTCAAACGCACATAAAGTGCCAATGTTCACGTCGCCACCTGACGCCCGGTGCCATATTTAGATTATTTTCACAGATTCATTTGAACCCATTATCTCACAACCCACAACGTTTCTGAAACTGACTGAATTCCCATCTTACGTTGAAGAGGTCAGAAGAGACATTCTCACTATACTGAGACTCTGCTACCGCTACTCTCACACAGCGACATCAAATCTGAGGGAATCTCTTCATGTATTTCCCTTATGAAAAAAACAGTAATCGTTCCGGAATTCTGTGAGTTTTGTATTAATAAAATGAATGCCGTGGACACAGAAGAAATGAGTTGTTTGAACCGTTGTGTCAAGTCGTGGTTAAATAAACAACGAGTCTTCTCGGGCGATCCGTTTTTTTAGTGTGGTATTCGACGTTTCGAGGAATATGTCTCCATCAACTGTTCAAATGCTGTGGCGACTTAAGTCCACATCGTCACACCTGATCTCCTTACAGAGCAGCAGTGTAAGGCTCATCAAATATCGTCAAATAATTTTATTTAATTCATACTGAGAGCTCGAGGAACATGGAAGTCGGTTCGTTAACTGGCAGGTTACCTGGTCAGTAGTGAGTTGGGTTATTCACTTACAAGATCCAAATCCTGCCTGAGAAACAAAATACAGGAACATTTGATACATGTCCGCATTAGTGATTAGTGACACTACATATGTGAGAAAACATGCCCACAATTTTGCTAAGCTGATTCTAACATAGTCTTGCATAATGCGGTTAAGATATCCGTCAAGTTTTTAGTGCTTCTCGTTCACTAATGATAAAGCCTTTAAGAATGCTATCTAAGATGCTACTTGCGCTAGTCACATTCTCATACTCCCAAGAGATTTATGATATCTTACTATCAGATAAGTACATTATGTAAAACGTTTGGGACTGAAAACAAAATACTTGGGCATGAAGGAATTTAAGGGGAAAATTAAGGCTATACCTTGACCATATTTATGACTTGGATATGGTTTCGTTAATATTTTCATTGGGGTCGAATTGAGATAAAGTGAACTAGAAATGTATTTCAGGTAAAGAAACAAGTAGTATACACAATTTTTTGGATAGAAACCTCTTAAAAGACAACAAATTCAGAAAAGCAACCTAGAAGTTGGAGAAAATAGTGGAATAATTTTCAGAGAAACATTGTGTTTAGACCTAAATAAACTGAAGGTACTGAGTAAAACCACGAAACATCTTAGTCAGGATACTCTAATGGTAATAAATAGAAAATAAACAGAAACTAATGAGAGGGTATAAGTAATTAGATAGTATCTGCATTAAAGTGTTAGAGACGAGTTTAAAAGAAAATTTTAAAAGGAATAAAATGGAAATCAAAGGCAAACATTCCGTAGGAAGAACTACATTAAAATGTTATGACCAGATAAAGGAAGTAAAATAGATAAAAATTAATATTGTAGGATTTCCGGTTCTTAAATATTATTTGAGATATTTACCTAAGTTTAGAAGAAAGTACTGCTTCTGTTTCAGGGTGTAAGGAATATATCAAAGATTATAGAAGAAATAGTTATGAAATGATTACAATGTGGAATAATTCTGCCATTTGTGAATACTATAAATGTACTACCATCTTGGCAGATGAATTCAGTAGATTTAGAACCTCGTTATCCGCAGTTTAAACTCCATAATACTTCGAAACGTCATAAGAATTCATGGGTGATGCAGGGATCTTTTCCAAAGGGGGAGTAAATTTTTGCAGGGGAGCAGTCTGAACACTTACTTATGGGCTTATGTTTAAGCAATTTATTACTAACTTAACTAACAAAATTTTAAATTTTAATATATCAAGACAGCCGATGTAGGTGTGAAAACTTTGGATTTTGTATCCATTTGTGTATTGTCAGCATTGCATGTATATATATTTTAACACTCAGAACGCCTATTGTAATAGTGGCTTCCAAACAGTATCGATGTCCATCTGAAGATGGTCTCTAAGGACCGAAACATGTAAGGGGATGAAGGATTGAGATAGGAAGTATCTTTACCAGTCACACTGGACGGAACTGCTTTATCTTTTTAGAATATTTATTACTATTTTACTGAATGCCCAAAGTATTGAGAATGGAAGAATACTACATTTCTTTTAGGATGATTATTATTATTGTTTATTATTATTATTATTTGGTATACTTCCTCTGCCGATCACAGTGGCCGCGCGGTCTAAGGCATGAATTGTCTTAGCCGCTGAAACACTGGGATCGTGGGTTCGAATCCCGCTCGAGGCATGAATGTCTGTATGCGTTTATTCTGTGTTTATATTGTCCTGTGTGCAGGTAGCGGCCTTGAGACGAGCTGATCCCCTGTCCAAATAGCACCGAATGTGTAAAAGATCAAGAAAAACGGCCAAGGTAGATAGATACTTCCTCTAATTTTGTTCTTTTAATCCGGAGGAGAAGAAATCAAATGCCTGGTTTGCCCTCCCTCTAGACGACGTCCACGTACACATCTACCAGATTACACGTAACACACCTCAGCAGAGAGTAAGAGATTTGTAATGGTGTTACTGTATTCAGCTCATAATATTTGCCATCCTAAGGCTCGGTGTCAATCTTACTCGTCTCTTGCTGATGTTAGTAAACTTCGCTTAATGCTGTCGCGTGTTTCCCAGGTAACGCGACAAGAAACGATGGGTCTCGAAATAGACGAATGTGTTTGTTGGACTATTATTTTGTTACACTCGCAGTTACAACCACTGGCACTTATATCGCCTTCAGACATTTCCTGTTCAGTGGCTCGGCTCTTGCATCTCTAATCTCGCTGAAGTGTCTTGGCCCTTCTTTTATCCCTTGTCGGATTTGGACTGACTTCTGCTCTAGTTAAAGCTGGACTGTCTTCTGCTTTCGTCGAAGCTGGACTGTCTTCTGTTCTCGTCGAAGCTGAACTGACTTCTGCTCTCATCGAAGCTGGACTGTATTCTGCTCTCGTCGAAGCTGGACTGTCTTCTGCTCTCGTCGAAGCTGGAGTGTTTTCTGCTCTCGTCGAAGCTGGAGTGTTTTCTGCTCTCGTCGAGCTGGACTGTCTTCTGCTCTCGTCGAAGCTGGACTATCTTCTCATGATTCGCATTCGTCATTCTTTCCATCATGCTCTTTAGATTCTCTAGGTCGGCTTTCCTTTCCGCCTCCCTTTCCTCTCTGTCGGCCTTCCTTTCCGCCGCCCTTTTCTCTCTGTCGGCCTTCCTTTCCGCCGCCCTTTCCTTTCTGTCGGCCTTCCTTTCCGCCTCCCTTTCATCTCGGTTGGCCTGCCTTTCCGCCTCCTTTTCATCTCGGTCGGCCTTCCTATCTGCCATTTTGGCCAGCATTTGTTCTTGGCCGTCAAACAGATATTCTATCATCTGTTGCATCTTCATAACGCGTCATATAGGTACACGAGTCAATCGTAAGTCCAATAATTCGTCCTAATTCGCCCACTTCTGGCACCAAATTGTCTCGTGTTTCCTAGGTAACGCGACAATATTAACATTTTGTTACGTAGGACCTGATCTTGGAGATGCAAGAATTTAGAAGCACGAACATTTTGGAAATCCGTGATTTAAGCTGTGTGACGTAGACTTGGAAATGAGCTTATAAACCTTCCTCTTACGTTGTTTCAGCAATGCATTTCGTATTCCTTAACCTTCTGTTGCATTGCAAATGTTCCCTTTACGGCACGTCTCTCCAAGATCTGCGTTTATTTATTTAAGGTCCTCATTAATGGGCCCCTTCCCTTCTTCTGTTTATCGTTTCTCATGCCTTTTACATGAGGAGCGCTAGTCCCGTCTTTAGGAACTAACGCGACAACTTTAGTTCTGCTGTAGGTCGTGAAAGTGAATAAAATGCAGGCTTCAAAACTATTAATTTT